GAAATTAACTGTTAAGTTTGAGCACAGCATGGTTCAGTGGAACAGATTTGTCGACTTGAATTTATCACTTGAAATATAAGACCGTCCACATCAAAAAACTAAACACATTATAACTTTAAAGAATTCTGAATTTTAAGGCACCCCATAATACTTTCTTCAAATCTAATATTGCTATATTCATAGAAGGATTTAAAGAAAAACAAAATAAGCAAGAATTTTACAAATAAGCTTAGCTGTATGGGGTCCCCTGATGTTCTATATGTACCATACAATGCTCCACTAAAATATAATAGCTACTTAATGAAGCTCATTTAATAAACTGGAACTTGAAGCATGGCTCCTGACAGCAAAATTAAGAATGGATCAGAGTGCTAAAGCTGTCACTTCAAGGACAAATGAAGTTAAGGGCATATATTGTAAAGAAATGAGATTAAAGATGGCTGATTATAAGAGGTTGAGAGGTAAAGAAAACTGGATGTTACAATAGCAACTGAAATCCAACTTATGTCCTCAGACTGATAATCCCCAGGCCTAGCACACCGCTGAACCCGATTCGTGTGTGGGTGTGCGCATGTGTGCATGCAAACACAGGTGTGTGGTGGGGTGAGGAGAGGTGAAGGTGGAGATGTAGGAGAAGGAAGGTGAGCAATAAAAAAAATCAAATCTCGAGGCTTAAAGTTTTCAGAAGAATAATCAGGTTCATAAGCATTAGTTTTCCCTCTTTTCAGGTCTGGGAAAATATTCTTAGATGAGCTTCTGACCAAATAATGGCAGCTTCTGGCCACTGGGCAATAGGGAGAGGCCCTTCTCTATCACAGCGTCTTCAGTAACTTGACTTTGAGAATGACATCCTGCCTAGCATCAGATAAGCCTATCAACATTTTGATCAATGGTACAACAACCACACTGCCAAAGCAACCCATGGGCTCCTCTTTTTCCATGAATTCGTCTCTCTGAATGGGATTCAGGAAGGCCATGCCTCAAAGATAATTGTGTGCTCAGTGCAAATCTGAAAATGTCTGGTATGGTCATAGCAAATGAGATGAGTAACGGCCAGGAAAGTCTCCTCAATAAGCCATGTCAACTATAGGCAATATAATTCTTCTATAACAGTATTTTCCACTAACAAATTTCCTCGGTATTTTGACAATGGTGACAATGTAGATAAAAGCTAAATATAAAACATATTTATAGAGACATGACCAGATTAATTCTAATACTATCCTACTGCAGAGTCTGTGCCTCCCTTGGAAGGCTGTGGTTGCTTCACTTGGACTTAAGCTTCACCTTGGGGTCCTTGAGCATTAAGTGAGGAGGTCTGCATAACACAAAGTAATAGCACAATAAACGTTAGCTATATTATTACTGTCATTTAATCCTGGGTGAGTCTCAGTAGAAAGAGCACACAAGAGAAGAGGGCAGAAGAAAGGACTGGAAAAAACAATGATAGTGTGTTGCTTATTTTAATAAGTGCAAACAGTGGGATTCTTCTATTGGTCCAGCATCTTTCTAGCAACAGACTAGGCTAACATTTGGAGGCAAATTTTCAAAATAATGATGCTTATAAAAACAATGTAATATAAAAAGCTATTGCAGCTTCATTACCCAAATACAATTAAATTTTACATATAACGTCAACTGTAGAGTATAATTCAGTAAGTTTTTTTTTTCCTCAGAGACCTAGCTACAATGAGTTCAGGAATGCATTAAACAGAAAAATGGAAAATATATGGCGACAAAGAGGTTAAAGTGACCACCAGGTCAGCAGCACTACACCCTGTTGCTGGAAGATAAATTACATCTGACAGATGTATTCTTTCCACGAGATGACTCACTTTAAGGTTCCGATTAGGAAAACTGAGCTAGTGCGCTAATTTCAGTGAACCAAGTTATACATAAAAAGTTATAAGACAGAATTATTTATTTTATACAGTGATAACAAGTACACATATAAGTGTTCTAATATTCAGTCATACTTTAGGGGCTTAATTTCAGCTTCAAATGATGTTATTCAGTCATAATTTGTTGCATATTATCACATTGTGACAAATGACCGGCCAGACTTGAAAATTCTAAGTTGTGTGGCCCAAGAAAACACAGCAGGCACTGTGACTGCCTTCCACTGAACCAAGTCCCTGGATCTGCCAGTTGTGTGGCCCAAGAAAACACAGCAGGCACTGTCTGTAACTGCCTTCCACTGAACCAAGTCCCTGGATCTGTCTTCCACTGAACCAAGTCCCTGGATCGACTAATGTCCCAAGTTCTCTCTGCAAACCACAATGACGAATGCCCAATGGCACTAGCAGGCAATCTCTAGTGCCACAAACACAGAATTTCTGCTCCCACCAGCTGGACTTCATGCTGACGAAGAGTCAGCTATGTCCTTCCAAACGCGTCTGTGTCAGTTGACTTGTTACTGTCATTATGAAATTTAACTAAATATTATGAAAAGTGATGGAATATGAGCATAAAAAATAAATCTTGTTTCTACTAAAAACTAAGTTAAGAGCTTTGTAAAGACTTAATAAAGGCAAGTCACTAAAAAAGAAAGCTGTTGGATTAGATGTGGGTGAGACAGCTACAAAAAAATGACCAAAAAAAAAAAAAATGAAACCTAAGATTCCGTAAGATTCAGATTGCTTTGCTAGTGTCTATGTTTTTGCTCTTGTGGTTTATACTACTAATACAATGTAGAATTCAAAATAGTAGAATCACTGTCAAAGAGAATTCCATGGCCTCACAAGAGTTTAGCAAATATATTTTTATAAATTTTAATTAAAATAAAATATTTTTAATACGTATATTTTTTCAAGATCTCCTGATTTAACTGATATTTTCAATTAATCAGCTCCAATTATATTGGATAAGAGGGTATTTTCTATACTTCAAATTAGAAACTACTTTGAGTTACTGGCTTTTAAATTTATGAAGTGTTATGAGCTAAGATGGATTACTCTGAAATATAGGCATTCAAAATTTTATCCCATACTTTGGAAAGATAAAAATACTTTAAACAAATTTCTACCAAATTTAAACACAAAAATATACTCCTTCCATTTAGACTAATATAGAGAAAGCAGAGCACAGCGGTCAAGAGCAGGACCCTGGTCAGGCACAAAGGTGGAGTCCTGGTTCCAACATTACTAGCTCCAGGACAGCTTATTCAGTAAGGTCACTTAAGCCTAGTTTTCTCATAGGAAATGCCATTAATAACGGTACCTACCTCAGTGGGCAGAGAGGCTGAAAGAAAATGCATGTCACATCAAATGTTTAGCAAAATTCCTAGTATATAATAAGTGTTCAAAAATGTTCACTCAATACTGTCATATTACCTAATAGGAAAAAAATGCCTACTACAACATAAATTATAATATTCTCTCTTATGTTAGACTCAATGTATTGGTTTTTAGCAAGATGGTCTCCACCTAGAGACAGCTCAGAAACACCTGTGAAAAATTTCCCCGGGTACAATAAATCAGGCATTAGACGCAATTTACCTCCTAAGGTATAACTGGCAATGCCTGGAGACATTTCAGCTCATCACACTAAGGTGCGGGGAGGGGACACCTATTGGCATCTAGGGTGTAGAGACCAGGGATGCTGCTCAACAGCATACAATGCACAGGACATCCCCCCTCCAACAAAGAACTATCCGCCCGAAATGTCAGGATGGAAACACTGAGAAACCCTGTATCTCAAATGATAGAAGAAAAGGACTTAAAGAAGTTATTTCTGAAATCTCAACTCCAAAAAATTATTCTGAGAGAATAAAGACTGCTTAAAAATGAAGTTGGAGTTTTCATTATCATATTGATGCCAGGGCTATTGACACCGATATTCAAGAGACCTAGATACTTAGTAGTAACAAGATAAGATTTTTTTGAGTGAACAAGCCCTCTTGAATGGGGTCCATCATGTAATAAGATAAATTTTATTCTAAAGTGAGCAATGTCATAAAGCTATAATGAGTACTAGAAGTAAAACTGCATTTGGAAGAATAAATCTAAGTTTCAAAAACTCCAGAACAGTAGGTGGGAAATCAAAACACTGCTATAGCCCTCTGCACAGAGGGGTCTCTCAGCCAGGCCGCAGGGTACTGAGCTAGCCAACGAATTCCTAGTATGTGCATGTCCGCAGGTGCATGTCCGCAGGTGCATGCCCTTCCTTGGCGAGCATCCTGTTTCCTAGCTTGGGTGCTCGCATGACAAACTCATTCTTCAATTAATAACGCTGCTCAAAAACACTGTTAGAAAGCTTCTGAGAGTTCATTTAAATTACTTACTTAAAAAAAAAAATCGTAGGGCCTTTCTTAAAAGCATGAGATAAAACTGTATATAAGTATAATCCAATAATATATGCATATATCCCCGCCACCCAAAACGGAAAAGACTAGAAAGAAAGTCACCAACATGTTAAGGGTACGTCTCTTCCGTGCCTTTTCTTCTTAAATTAAGACCTAAACTCGATTCCCGGCTTTGAGACACACTGGCTCTGTGACTTTTCTCAAATAACGTTAACTAATTTTCACTAAAATTCCTGTGAAACGGATAGAAACATATTACAATTCTCATTTACTGATGAGAACATCGGGGTGGAAAAGAAATGGTCCTGTACTGATTGTAAGAGTGTTACCTAAATAAAAGGCTGCATTAAGATTGTTTTTTAATCCACAAGATAAAGCTCTATTTAAAATATTTTCAACTTTATCTAACATTTATCTCTAAAGGTGACATAAATCTTCTACACAAAGACCATAATTTCATCCACTAAATCAAAGGGTTTTTTAAAAAGCAATTATTTAATATGTGAGTTATTTTGTACTTGAAAGAGGAAGTAATTAAAAAAAAATGCAATAAGAAATATATTGCAGCAAATACCTATTTAACTATTTTACCATTAAGAAGGAATTCATGAAATCTGCGTCACACTACTAAAAAACCAGACAGACAGTACTCATTTTCAGAAAGTACAGCATAACAAATTAAAAGATCTCTACTCACCCTTCTGATAGAAGAATTTCCTGTAATAGTACGCGCCAAGATCCACATGTTCCACAATGTACCTCTTCACGCGATCCAGATGCAACACCAAGTTTTCCTTGGGCACTTCAAGGACTGCCACTCCCGCATTTGTGCAATGGGAGCTGAGTGCAGACTCGAAGGAGGCACTTTCACATCCACTGAAGGAACCAGAATTTGATTTCGACAGGCTGATGTTCCTTTCACCTTCTCCACCTATCTCATTCCGAAAATATGGGCAACTCATTACAAGTTCATTGCTTTTATCATCACCCTGGTCCATGCTGAGGCTTCCTTTGGAATTCAGGTCCTCTGTGCTGCCCATCGGGGAGCTAAAACTGGCTGAGTGGGACAACGGTCCCGAGACCAAGGATGCCACGGCAGCTGCCGACGCCCCCGTGGTGGTGTTCCTCCTCTTAATAACATTGTGCCTGTTCACAATCGCCTCATTCAAGTCAAATAATATACTCTGGACATCGTAGTGGGCAAAGCACTTCGGACACGTCCAGGGCCTGACGGAGTCTTCTGATCGGTTATCTTCAAGATCCGACGATTTCCCAAGTTCATCACCTTTGGCATTGCGTAATTTACGAAAAATGGATGAGTCTCCAGTTTCAGACTTGGAACGTCGCTTGAGTGGTTTTTCCCTTTCCTTAAAGAGTCTGAGGTTCTCTCTCTGTGAGATGGGCCCGTCTATAACATCCAAAGAGAAACCAGAACCCTTGCCCCCACCGGCGATGAGAAAGTCACTGAGCTTGGTTGGAGTTGGACCTCGGTCAGATTTGTCATCTTTGTAGCCCTTTAACAAATCAAAGAAGCTCTCTCCAGACGTTCCCTGCTTATCAATTGAAGATGTGCTACCATATTCCCTGTGTAGTGATGGCCCAGTCTTGTACGTGGGCGAGATACATTCATCAAAGCTATCCACGTCAAGTTCACTTATGGTGATATCACTGTTGCTCCGCTGTCGTATTCTGCGAAGAGCCTTTCTAGGGGAGCTAGGATAGGCTTCAGGCATCAGAAATCTGGAGTCCATGTTCTCCGACGGTCGCGTCTTGTTCTTCAGCGTGTTCTGTATGCTTTTTAACATGGCTGAGTCACTGGAATTGAGGCTAACAGAACTTCCCTGACTCACAGGACTGCTTTTGGAGGACATGCTCTCAAGGCAACTTGAGGTTTCTATTTCCTGGCTTGAACGGCTAGATTCTTTTACGTTCTCCTTCCTTGGGGGCCAATCTGCAATCCTTGCCCTAACCCCCATCTTTGGGACCCCAGGGGTCGAGGTTATATGGTGAGAGCCTTCGCTGCGGGGGGGCCCTACGGGAGCCATGACAGAAGATCCCAAGCTGCCATTCTGGGACCTGAAGCGCCGCATGTAGAAGTCGTCGGTGTGGACTTTGGGAGGGCCATCTGCGCCGACGACGGAGGCCCTTTCGGTGGCAACGGGCCTCTCCGTCTGCGACCGTTTCAAGCTGGTCATGATGTACTAGCGATCAGACTCAAATCCCTGCAGAAAGGACCATTGTATCTAAGTTTTAAATGTGTACTTCCCTTTTGGAGAATGGTTTCCAGCAAATGCAGCAGTTGTATGAAATCTTAACCTTTTTCATTTAAAAGGCTGAATGTCTTATTTTCAAACTTCTGAAAATCCAGATCTTCAAAACATTATAATCCACAATAGTTCCTTTGCTTCACTTTAATAGATGGCTCTCTTTCAGAAAAAACTGAATGGAATTTGTATTACTGGGACGCTGTGACTGCCATAATCCCATGCTTTCTCTAAAAGAGAGAAGGATAACTGGAATTAGCATTTGATAAATACACCTTAAAAAACAACAACAACAAAAATGCAATTGCCGAAAACAGACTCATGAAAATAAGACTCCCTAATGTATGTGGTTGACAGTTCAAAACCCATATATTTTAGTAAAGAAGGTTTGAAAGAAAGGAACTGAAAAGCATTTAATAAAATCCATCATTTAAATTATTTATATATATTTTAAAAGACTATTGGGGAGGAGCGAGGAGGATCTCGTTTGAGGACACCAAAGCTCCTACCCCAAGTCTCCAATGACCTCTAATAGCATAGAATATCATGAACCCCTGTGCTGGCTAGAAGTTCGAGACATAACCAACAGAGTTCAGTACTTAGAGCAATGCATAATCAGGTTTTTAACAAGGCTAAAAATGGAAAGAAATATTTTACTGACTATGTTGTAACACTCACTTTTTAATACCTTCTATATTTCAAAATCCTAACTTGCCTTTTGTTTCTTTACAAAGGCTTAACATATTTTACAAGAGTAAATACAATAGACAGAAAATAAACAGAGTTTTCCCGAAGCCATTATATCTATGAGCACTCTTCTGCATTTTCCTCTACTTTATTACTTACCCCAATGAGGAATATTTCAGAACGAATCCAGCATTTACAACCACCTCTTCCCAAGCTCTCTCTAGTTTCATCTACTCCTAAAGCTAGAAATATTTCACTAACAAAATGCCTGCATTTTCTTATGAATCGTAACCTACCCCACCCTTCGGTGCTAATTTATTAAAGACGGCAAAAACAAAATGCTGCTGTGGCTAGACCTCTGCACACTCCCCAAGGAACCACAGAGAACTGTTAACATCCTTCCAGGTGACGGGCGAAGAAAACCAACTTCCTCATAAGCAAGTCAGTCAGGAGGCAAGAGGCACAGATTCCAAGTACAAAATCCTGCATGGTGGCGTACATCCTGAAAATAAAGGCAGAGGACCCTTTTCCAAGACTCCACGAATTACACAAGAGGTGGCCTTTAAATTCTTGC